TTGTCATGGAAGAGAAACTCATAAATAATATAATAGACAAATGGAATTATTTTGAACTGTCAACACACTGATATATTCTATTTAAAAAAAAACGTGTAAAGGGCAATAGATCTTGAGCGTTCAAAATAAACAGGCACCCATCTTGAAAAATCACCAAGCGTGAAACAGCATGCTAGTAGGAAAATAAATAAAAAATGTTATTTTTATGTGTACAAAAAGAACTTTTTAAAAGTATTTAAAATATAGCCCGAGTGGGGTGCAGTCTGGGGAGTTAAGTGGCTAGATGTGAGTGGGGATATGGCCGCAGAAACTGTCTGAAAGGCATTTGATGTAGGCCTGCATATTTAGTCTGAGACCCTCACCAAAAAAATCGGGATTTCTTTTCTTATTAGAATGCTCAAAGTGAGTTTTCCGTACCTTCATAATCACCATTAGACTCATCCAACTTTTTCCGAAATCTCTGAACTGTCCTCAGATTAGCCCCTAAACACTGAAATCTTCATATAGGAGATTCCGGTGCGAATTCCAAGCAAAACAGCCTGCTGTTCCCAAATTTCTGGCAGAGTGAATTGCGTCATGTTGCTCTTTTACTCACAGACGATAGCCAGCTGACACTACTATACTGTGCTCTCGACAAAATCAATATATATATATATATATATATATATATATATATATATATATATATATATTAGAAAGGGACGCCCTGATCTTATCTGAAACATGTATATGCGAAATTAAAAATATAAAATGGCGAACATTCGCACCTGTATTGATTATTATGTGTGTGGCGTTGTTGAGTGAGAGACCAACAAAACTTGTAGCACCAAAAATGAACTGAAGGCAAGAATTACGGCAGCATTCACCATCATGAATAAGGAGGCCGTCTAGAAGAGTTGCAGGCGATTCCGAATTCGTCTGGAGGCCATGGTTGAAGCCAGTAGCGATTTTATTGAAGAAATTTACTCTTTAGTATTTTAGGATATTTTGTGCAATTTTTGCAAATATATCTGTAAAAATTATGCTGTCAGTATTATTTGCATTTTGCATTCGACGACAATTTATACATCGCACTCTGTATAGAATAGTTAGACATTGTATATATATATATATATATATATATATATATATATATATATATAATCGACTCTCTCCCGTCGCGTTCGACGTATGAGGGTCAGGCCGATAAGTCCCCAGGAAACCGACATCCCGACACCGGCACATGAGATTTGTTTATAGTGGTGAAGGCCTTGTGCAGGACCAGCCACACTTTTTGGAGGGACGAATACAGAAACCTGGTGCACCGAATGCATGCCACAAGGTTCCCAAACGACCCTCCGCAGGTTTTGAATTCAGAGTTGTCCTTCTCCTAGACCAGTTGCCATCCAAGGCTATAGAACCCAGTCTGTCCTATATATATATATATATATATAAAGGAGAATTTGATGTTCCACAGGGTTCGTTTGATGATGCTGAGGTTTCTGAATTATTAGGCCTATATATTTTAACATAAAATCAACAAAATAGAGACAATCACGGTCTGTATAGAGGTGTCGGGCTGATGATAGTGCCACACACCAGAAGAGCAAATGAAAATATAAGAAAAATGCTGTTCAAAATCTTTCAAAAGAATCGACTAGAAATAAAAGTCGATCTAATAAGAAAAAATAAATATATATATATATATATATATATATATATATATATATATATATATATATATATATATATATATATATATATATATATATATATATATATATATATATATAGCGAGACTTCGCTAATGCGAATTGAGTCACACCCGGTCACTGGGCGTGTTTATAAAGATAAACACGCTAAAAATCCACTTTCCTCCCTGCGCCGATGGCTTAATGGTTAGAATCTCCGACTAACACCAGTTCAGTCGGGTTTCGACCCTAGCTGGAGGCAACCGGATGTCTAGCCACACTGATGAGCTGCGAAACAGTCTGTCTGTGGATGACGATATATATATATATATAGAATTAAATATACAAACTGGAAGTGTCTCCTATATAATAAATAAACCCAACATAAAATAAGAATACGTGCTGTACCCATCCACCCTGCAAGTATAATAAAGCACACCCTTAAAAGTATAGAATCCAGGTTATCTAGAAATTCCTCTAGTGAAATAATTTTCGAAAATAAATAGAAATAGTATGAAAAGATTTTAAAAGAAGAACTGGAATTTAAACCTGAAATAAAAATAACATTTGGTTTAATCATCCTCTTTAACTTAGAGGTCAAAAGTAAAATAAGGAAAATATTTTTCCAATTACTTAATAATTACTTCCCAAAAAATTTCGAATTATCCAAAATCATTAATAAAAAAAAAAACAGTTAAAGTAAGCTACAGCTTGCACGAGTAATTTAAGACCCACAATAATTTAAAAAAAAAAAAACGCCAGGAATTTCAAAGCTAACATGCAGCAAGATGCTGTTAACACTGAAACATGTAACTGTAGAAATAAAAATAAATGTCCACTAGATGGAGTTTACAAAACTGAAGCAGTGATTTATAAAGCAGAATTTACAGACACAAATGTCGAGACCAAAATATACATAGCATCTACTGAAGGCAGCTTCAAGACGAGATGGTATAATCACAAGTCATCCTTCAAACTAGAAAGTCTTAGGAATTCTACCAGAATAGCCAGCCATGTGTGAAAGTTAAAAAAAAAAATAACAAAAAATCCGATTGTAAACTGGGAAATCTTAAAAAAATAGCCAAACCTTATAACAACCATAGTGATATCTGCAAACTTTGCCAGGAAGAAAAGTTAACAATAATAACATTTTCAAACCAGAAAAAACGTGAATGAGAGATAAAAAAATAATGACACAATGCATATACATAAAAAACTTCTTTTTGAGTTCATATGAACCAGGATGAAAGTAGATTAATTTTATATACCCCCTGCCCTCTTGTTTTTCTCCTCCCCTTTTATTACGCTTCGCGTTGTGCGTTTATTTATTTTTAAATAATAAAACCATAGGAAATTATTTATCCCGGATAGCCTGAAAATATATAAAGGTTGAAACAGCGTGATCGGCTGACCTCCTAATGTTTTTGTTCAATTCAAAAGCTCTGCATGTTAATTTTTTTATTTTATTTACTTTATAAATGTATTGAGCACTTTTTAATACTACTGTTTCCTGGTCTAATTCAACTTTGAACAATCACTTTTTTTTATAATATATATATATATATATATATATATATATATATATATATATATATGCAGGTGGTAATAGAACAATGATTGATGGATAATAACAGAACCAAAATTCATGCTAATGAAAAATATAGGTTTGACTTCATTGATTGGTTCTAGGTCCATGAACGTTTCAATCGTTAGGCATGGATTGAAAAGGTAACTTTTAAATTTTCAATGCTTGTCTGACCATTATCACATGCATTCAGCGTTGTACCAAACAATGGGAAAATATGTACATATATATATATATATATATATATATATATATATATATATATATATTTATATATATATATATATATATATGAATATTTATTTAAAAATTATAAACAATTATTTCTTTATAAATTATAAATAACTATATTCGCTCTACTCTGTATTGAGCACTCTTTTAAGAATAGTAATTGTTGGTTATTGGAATTTATTCCGTATACACCAATCATATTACTTGGATATATATATATATATATATATATATATATATATATATATATATATATATGTATGTATGTATGTATGCATGTGTGTGTGTGTGTGTAAACAATTTTATTTGAAAAAAATCTTTTTCTACCATTACATTAATTGTATGGCCAAAAAGAGGTTTTATGAACTTTTGCACACAATTAAATATCTAGTTAGTTAGATATGAACAGAGCGAAACAGATAGATAGATAGATAGATCGATAGATAGATAGTTAAAAGAAAAGATACATATGAAACGGGAAAAATTTATGCGAACAGGGGTAGCCGAATAGATAGAAAATCATATATGAATATATTCGTGTCAACCATATTTTATACAGATAAATGTTTATGTAACGACATGTGGCGAGAGCCACTCAATGTCCTTTAAGATGTTTCACAAATTTCTGCATTTAACATGATTCGAACCGTGTATCTTTCTCTAGACCGACATTTTCAAGGAAAGGCAAGGTATACCAAACAAATGGCATCAGTAAAGACGCCGGTTCTTTGCGTTCTACGCGCCCGCTGACGAATGCGCATGCGTGAGTTTCATGAACGCCACCGCTTGCTCTCGTTCGTTGCGACGTAAGTATCTTTTACATTTCAATCGACACAAATTATCTTCCTCAACTCCTTTCTTTTCGATGTGAGCTCATCCAACACCGACCACACCACTTTCCTCGATATTCCTTCGCTCATTAACACTTCCTTTTCTCTTTCACTCCTCCACTCTTTCTTTTTTAATGGTTTCATAGTCTTTCTCTTCCCCTTTCTCTCTCTTTCTCTCTCTCTCTCTCTCTTTCTAGTGTTTTTTACTGTGTGTGTCTTATGCATGGTCGTACAGGATTTCTTGAATATTCCGATGTGTTTGAGAAAGTGTTCATTCGCTTTTTTTTTCTGTGTGCGGTGCGTGTACGAACATCAGATGCATTAGTGTGTCTCTATGTGTAGATGAATGTGTACGGATGTCTGCATAAGCTTTCTTTTTTTATTAGACTCACCGTCGAAGTCAGTCATAACCCTGACGTTCTGTGAGCTTTGACGTCATCACCAGTTGCCAGGGACAACGCAAATCAATGTTGATTCGCAGCTCTCTCTCTCTCTCTCTATCTCTCTCTCTCTCTCTCTCTATCTCTCTCTCTCTCTCTCTCTCTTTCACCCACTGTTTCTATCAATCTATCTATCACGCCCTCATTTTTATGTGTGTGTATATTTCTGTCTATCTTTCTCTTTCTCGTTTGTCCCGGTTCACGAAAGCACTCACGCAGAAAACACACACACACAAACACACACAGATAGATAGATAGATAGATAGATAGATAGATAGATAGATAGATAGATAGATAGATAGATAGATAGATCTTAAATATATGTGTGTGTGTATCCATATCTATATATATATATATATATATATATATATATATATATAGAGAGAGAGAGAGAGAGAGAGAGAGGGGGGAGAGAGATAGATAGATACAGGGACACACAGATGTATCGGAGCTTATGTCTCTCGAACTATTACGACTGAGTAGTGAGTTCGATCGCCACTGGATGCCCCAATATATTCGACGTTGTGCCATATCTATGTTACGCTTGGAAAATTAATATATAAATATATATATATATATATATATATATATATATATATATATATATATGAAAAATATACTCTTAAGTTGTGCTATATTTATGGGATAAAGTGCTCAATATCAGAGATAGAGCGTGTGTAAATATAAAAGTGAACATTGAAGTCAACACTTAGAGGCGACAGGCTGTTTCATGCTAGGCGCAATCGGCCACGATGGCCTGACGAATGCGTCTAGCATGAAACAGCCTGTTATCTCTAAATGTTGATATTAATGTTCACCTTTTATATATATATATATATATATATATATATATATATATATATATATATACTGTGTGAGATACATATATAATGACGGAAAAATTTTGCAATCTTTCGTGTCTTTTTCATTTTTAATTCTCGCTTTCCTCATTCTACTTCCATGCAACATGCCCCCCAGAACGTTAGCGAATCGGGCTCTCCATAAATTCCTATCCCTTGTAGCTCTTATTTTGCTTTTTTACCATTCATTCCTAAACCCATTCCGCCATCCATCTCACGCATGCTCGTCAAGTCGTTGACCCGCTGCCTCTGTGAGTATCAAATTCCCCCTTCTCTTTTCTCATTATGGGTCCAGGAATTGCAACTCCCATTACACTTTTCCTTAAAACTTCCTCATTTACGCAGTCTGTCAATGATATTCTCAGCATCTCTATGCAGAACTACGTGTCTATTAATTTTAGTCTTGTCTTCAACTGGCAGGGACCTGTCCAGCATTCACTGCGATATCGGAACGTTAACATTACATAGCAGTTCAACACTTTTCTCTGTTGTTAAAGAAAATTCTCTTGTTTCAATTAACTTGGCTTAGCTTATAGAAGACATCTTTTTCTATTGTCACATTTGCCATTCTCTCTTCGTGCGTGGAGGCACGGTGGAGTTATGAATAGCATGGCTTCATAAAGAAATAATCATAAAAACTTTGCCAAAATTCGATTATCTTTTTCTACTAGGCACGGTGGAGTAATGGATAGCGGCTCGGATTAAGGAAACGGAGATCCGAGTTCCAGTCGAATCCATTACATTTACTTACTTGTGAACGGTATGAATTCTCTTCTTCTCCACTTAGCTATGTGTAAATAACAGGACAGACCTGGTTCTGTAGCGTTGGATGGCAAGTGGTCTACCGCAGAAAGAAATGGCAACCTACTGCGGCAAAAAAAAATCTGCCTCGTATCGAAAGATACATAATCGCCTAAGCGTGTATCACGCATAGCACATAACTGAACTGAAACGTACGGGTGACATGTATAGCTAAAATAAATGATCAAATATAAAAATCAATACGTGGTCATGCTCCAAAATAAGGTATATATTAACAGTGTTCAGACGTCGTAATTGTGAAGAGGATATCCTTTTTTTTTTTGCGTCCAGACACAGTCCTGTACTCTTTCATGCATATGATTCAACAGACGATGACATGATTATCCGTCTGTGGCATCTGTTGATGCGATACAGCAAATGTTTTAAATATATTAGCTGAACGAGTAAGGTGTCACCTTACAGAGCCTATTGCGAAGTACGGGTTTCTTGTTGGCAGGCATTATCATGCTACAACCATTTATCGCATTCCTGTTATTTGAGAACGGGTGGAATATATCGTATATCGCGTCGTTTAGTCTTCCATCCACAAACGTTGGGTCTATGTATCGTCAATGAACACACCTCGGAAAATGGTTACATCTATATTTTGTTCACCCAAACTCCGACCACTAAATACACTCAGGGCAGTTTAAAGGTTTAATAATCTTTCTGGCTTGGTGTTCGATGTCGCACGCTGAGATCGCTTCCACAATCAACTCCGACTTTGTTAAGCATTTCATCTCAAAAGGTCTTCTTACAGATAAAAATATAACTATCACTTCTCTAGGTCATCAGCCTCTGCGTTAAATGCTCCTGATGGAAGAGTCTCACACGCTTTTGATAAGAAAGGTAAAACTATGGCTGTTGCCTCAGATATTGTGAAGGAGTTTATCAGGATTTGATATACTGTTCTCAAAACTTATTTCTAATATTCATCAATGGCCGCCCAGATCTCGTTAGTTCTCGTGTTAGTATCTATAGTGATGACAAGCATTTACACTTGTCATAATGGTAAGTCTGATAAAGGTTCGATAAAGTCAAATTTGCAGCTGATCTAGAAAATGACGTGCAGTTTGTCGTTAAGTTGGGCAAGAAATGACTTGTTAATTTTAACGCGTCCAAACGAATATGATCTAATCTGATCGTACACAATAATTTTTTTTACGTACTTTTTCTTTGCAGCATTATGGCTGATGCTAATCTTTAGAAAAATAACGTATTGCGACATCTCGGTGTAAAGTTTTCACTTACTTGAATGATTATATTGAATCAATTGCTAGGTTTACTGCTAAGAAAATTGGTTCACTGTGCTGTGCCAGACAATTTTCCTTGCCAGCATATATATTACCATTTATCTTGCCATTCGTCCGTGAATCGAGTATTGCTGTCACATCTAGTCTGGTGCTCCTGCTATGTATCTAGAAATTCAAGAGAAAATCCAAATATCTGCACTATAACCAGTCACATAAATATGATCTCTCTTGTTAGAGAAACCATTGTGTGCTCCGGTGGTCTTTAGAATGGTAGGTTAGATTGTGATGCACTCTGTCGACACAGAGGGCATCACAGAACGTTCTAAAGCTCACTATATCAGAAGTTGGTTTCGTCTACAAAGGGAGACACAAAGTTGAACCTTATTTTAGTATGTCTTTCCCCAGTAGAGTAGACGTAATCCACAGTTTAAAAGAACAAAAAACAGGGCGTCTACTCAAACATTGGTATCCACAGAATGGCATTTGGAATAGAGCGACAAACGTATATATATATATATATATATATATATATATATATATATATATATATATATATATTGTCATCCACAGACTGACTATGTCGCTGTATTACAGCTCATCAGTTTTTCTAGACGTCCGGTTGCTTCTAGCTAGGATGGAAACCCGGCTCAATTGGCGGCTGCCAGGGAATCTACACCTGACCTGTTGGCACACGGCAGCGATGAAGGTGAATTTAAGCGTATTTACTTTTAGATAAACACGCCAATGACTGAGAGAACTCGATTCGTTTTATCGAAGAGTCTTGCATTAGTCGCAGTAATAGTCACTGTTCACCAACTCACACATCTTCCCCAGAGAACTCAACTGAAATAATTTTTCAGGAGCATATATATTGTCATCCACAGACAGTCTGTTTTGCTGTATCACAGCTCATCAGTATGGCTAGACGTCCGGTTTCCTCTAGCTAGGATCGAATGCTGGTTGAATTGGCGTTAATCGGAGAATCTACCCCAAAGCAGTTGTTGGACGGCAGGGGGGAAAGTTAATTTAAGCGTATTTATTTTTAGATAACACGCCAGTGACTGAGAGAACTAGAAAGAAACAGCTTTTAGATGAGTCTACTGCGAATGCACAGCTGAAAGGAAAGAGCTCACGACATATAAAATGGCAGAGCTTTTCTAAATTACGAATTAAATTTACCACTATTTTAACTGTTCCTCATATATATATATATATATATATATATATATATATAGATTGATAATATTAGTGGTAAATACACACACACACACACACACACACACACACACACACACATATATATATATATATATATATATATATATATCTGCAAGAGGAGGAAGTGATCTCGAAGCTACGCATTCCTAATATCTGACCAACCTTTACGTTCGTTGGATACCTCAAGGCGAATTCAAGTGCAGCCATTAAACTGGTATGGAAAATTTAGTGGAAATAGAATAAGGTTTTAATGTAGAAAAAAGCAAAAAAAAAAAAAAAAAGACAAAAAGCAATTGTTGGTCAATGTCAAAGCTTCGCCCTAACAATTTTCAGTTTTGTGGGAATACATTTTAAATTACTGTTTGGAACATTTCACTCTAATAATACACTGCTTTACTCATAATCAGCCATTTTTAATTTCGCCTGTTTTGGAAAACTAATTTGGAAAAATATTCGCAACATTAACGCGCAGGTCATTTCGCATATGTATTAATTATCGTGAACGACGTGTTATTCTTATGGCGTAGCAATAATTTTATTAATTTTATTCTATTTGACAAGCAACACTATGTTGTAATTAAAAATGACATCAGGCGCAAAGTAAAATGTTTTAAAATTTGAAAACAGCGCCATTACAATTAAGACGAGTGTGAAATTTATATTCATGTTTTGATACAATTTATATGTCGTTCCTTCATTGATCTCGTCTACTGTAACATTCTATTAAATAGATTGTGCAGCATCCAGATTGAATTCCAATGTTCATCGCTTCTGTTAAATTGCAATCTATCAATGTAAAACCATCTCTTCAGTATACGCCAACATTTTTCAGTTCGTTTAAAGAAGAGGGAAAAAGGCTGGCCACTTCATGAAATGATGATTTTCGAAATCCATTTTCTTCCTTTCTTTGCTTTCTGAATCTTGAAGAGTAATGGTGTGCTTAAAAATCATCTTCTTTTGAAAGCATTTGCAGTCTTCTCGTATAATAGCACCATGTGTGCCTTCAAAAATCAATGTTTGTGCCTTAGACATTATTTGTGAAATCCCCATTTGACCCACAACTTTAACTTCTGTATCCGATCACAACACATTACTAGCTTCACCAGGGCATCTCATCGTGGTGTAAAGGTTAGCAAGCTTGTCTCACTAGATCAGTTACGATTAGAAAGTGAGTTCGATC